TTTGCTTCATTGGCTTTGTGTTTTTATTAAGTTTGTCTGTAGTGTAAAATATTCTGGAGGAGTTTGCTTTTGCTTCTCTTCCTTCTTTTCTTCCAGATTGGTTTCTTTCTTTCCTTCTTTCTTTCTTTTTTTTGGGGGGGGGTCATTCCGTCCCTCCCTCCTTTCCTTCGTTCCTCCCAACCTACCTTCCTTCCCCACTTCCTTCCCCCCTTCCTTCCCACCTTTCTTCCTTCTCTTCTGTATTATACATCCTATCTCTTCACCTCACTTAGGTTTAATACGGGCAGTTCAGTGAAGTGCTGAAGAGAACAGACCCTAGAGCCCCAGTACCTGGGATGCATTCTTGATTCTTCCATTCAATAGTGACACAACTTGGGGCACATACTCTCTGTGCTTCATCTTTTTCATCTGTAAAATGTGAATAATAGTAATTCCTCCTTTCTAAGGTTGTGAAGGGGACTTAATGAGATAAGGCACATGCACTTCCTAAGCATGCTTTTCTTACCTGCATAAACAACACCAGTGCTGTTGTTGGTTCTGATAGAGGGTAGTTAAGCGTTTCTGGCTGTGCTTCTAGAACTGTTGGCCTTTCCCTCTGAGCTCCATTATGGGGTAAGGGTGAGGCAAAGGGCCTGGCTCTGTACATTTTGTCTTTGAGACTCTGAGTGTGTTCCAGAACTTTGTTAGACGTTCTGTTTGGGAGATATATCCTGTTCCTTTGGAATGCCTAGGTTAGGGATGAGCTTCCAAAGGCATCCAGTTTGGAGCCCTGGAGAGTGAGGATCCAGGTGGTGACCCCTGCTTCTGCCCGAATTCTGGAACCTGGGTGGTCGGCCTGTGTGTCTTCTTCTCAGAGCTTTCCTGTCACTGTTCTCTGACTGCTTACTCACCCCTCAGTTTACTACTGTCTAAATTGATCTTCAGGGTTTTGTGGGCTTATTCCTACCCTACCCCACCCCCCTGCCAAAGTGGCAGTGAGGGTGGGGGCAGCATCCATCCATGCGGTCCCAGAATCTTCCATCCCTCACCGTGGTCGCCGCTTTTCGGAGTGCATAGACTGAAGTTACGCTTCTTTCTTCATTGGCTTGTTTTCTGCTGTTGAAAATTGTCCTGGCTTTTAATTCTCACCTCTTGTAAGGAAAGCACAATTCTCTGATCGAATTTTATTCTGCTGTCTTTATCCGGAAATCTTGTGGTGAGCTTTTAAAAAAAAGAAAGATAGAAAAAACAAAACATTCCTGGACCCAACCCTGGACCTTCCATTTCGGAGGGCCTGGAACTGGGCCCAGGTATCTCCTTTTTAAAAAGCTTCCCTGTGGCTCTTTGGATCAACCAAGCTAAAATCCAGTATCCTTATGAGAGGATTATATTTTTCTCTTACCTTTTAATTAGCCTGTCTGAAGAGCAAGTTTAATATATAAAACACTTAAAATTTCTCAGAAAGATCCCATAAATTTAAAGCTGCTCTTTGTGGTTGGTTTTCTTGCTTGTTTTTTAAGTAACCTCATACAAAATAGGGGCAAGAAAGCCCATCTCTAGAGAATGGAAATGAAAGTTGATCTTTCTTTCTAGTGGTCCCTGAGAGAAAAATCCTGATTTTCCCTTCCAGACCTCTTAAGCTTTTAGTTTTCTGCTGGCATTTGTAGAGTGAATTATTCATTGGTGCTTTTAAGAAGCATTTTGAATGCTGTATATGCTAACATGGTCAAAGTGAGACTCATTCATCACAACGTGACGGTCTCCACAGGCTGTCACCCACCACAGAATATTCCGCCCCCCCCCCCGCACCCCCTGTGGTCTTTAATCCTGTTTAGGATTGGATTGGTAAGAAGGAACTAAAAAGAGTTCTGGTTTTAACTTTCTATATTCAAGCTATGTTTCCTTCAACTGGATATAAAATTTAAATTATTTTTATGAAGGCTTAGGACTGGAAGCTAAAAAGAAAATGTGGATTTATTAATTTTTTAATTTATTTTTTTAAAATATGAAGTGGGTTTTTTTTTGTTTTGTTTTATTTAAGTAGTCTCTACACCCCACGTTGGGTTTGAACTCACGACCCCGAAATTGAGTTCAGGAGTCGCACACTCGGGGTGCCTGGGTGGCTCAGTTGTTAAGCGTCTGCCTTGGGCTCAGGTCATGGTCCCAGGGTCCTGGGATCGAGCCCCACATCGGGCTCTCTGCTCAACGAGAAGCCTGCTTCTCCCTCTCCCACTTCCCCTGCTTGTGTTCCCTCTCTCGCTGTGTCTCTCTCTGTCAAATAAATAAAATCTTTAAAAAAAAAAAGAGTCGCACACTCTTCTGACTGAGCCAGCCAGGTGCCCCAGAAAATGTGGATTTAATTAAACCTTTACAATAACAGTTTCAAAAGAATTTTTATATAAGATGTGAATTTCAAAGTGATATTTTCAATTTGTTAATTTATAGTTAATAGGAGAAATGGTTAATATTTAAAACCGTGCATTAAAAATATCTCACATGTTGGGGCGCCTGGGTGGCTGAGTCGGCTAAGCATCTGACTCTTGATTTCAGCTCAGGTCATGATCTCAGGGTTGTGAGATCGAGCCCCACGTCTGGCTCCTCACTGGGCATGGAGCCTGCTTGAGATTCTCTCCCCCTCTGCCTCTGCCCCTCCCCCCACTCCTCTTCCTCTCTACCAAAAAATCCCACATATGCTACTCTTCGCGTACGTGGAAAAGAACCTATTGGTTATATGGTCGTGTGCTTTCCATGTGCTCCCCTTTCCATCCCTGCCAGCTGTGAGTAGGTTGGACTGTTTTTACTAAATCTACATTTTAAGGAGTGACTGTGGTAAACCAACTGAAAGAACTGTACTGTGCTTTCAACAAACAAGATTTCTCTCCTTTGAATTATTTTTTTCTTTAAGCCACTTTATTTATTTATTTATTTAAAAGATTTTATTGGGGGCTTGAGCTCACAATCCTGAGATCGAGAGTTGTACGCTCTACCAACGGAGCCAGCCAGGTGCCCCTAAGCCACATTTTTAAAGGAAATGCTATTTTTCAGCATTCTTTTGGATCTAGACTTATTAGGTAAACTGTACTATGCATCCAGAGTATCAGAGAAAAGATGACATGGTTTTTATTATTATTATTATTATTATTATTATAAGTAAGCTCTATGCCCAGTGTGGGGCTTGAACTCAAGATCCTGAGATCAAGAGTCCCATGCTCTACTGAGTCTGCCACCCAGGTGCCCTTCATATCTTCATTTTATTTCATTTATTTTATTTTTTAAAAGATTTTATTTATTTACTTGTCAGAGAGAGAGCAGAAGCAGGGGGAGCGACAGACAGAGGGAGAAGCAGGTTCCCTGCTGAGCAAGGAGCCTGATGTGGAACTCAATCCCAGGACCCTGGGATCCTGACCTGAGCCCAAGGCAGATACTTAACGAACTGAGCCACCCAGGCACCCCCGTATCTTCACTTTAAATTGCAACAGTCAATATTCTTGGATGTTACATATTCCCTCAGAAAACTTGAAGGGGCAATAGAGGTCATTTCATCTGACCCCCTTGAACTCACAGATGAGGAGCTGGATGCACAGACTTGCTTGTTAGTTTGTCTGGGGTCACGCCATCCCAGAGCAATGTCCTTTTTACTGAAGTCCATTGCCTCAAATCATCTAGTAACACCTGTCAGAGATGAAATCATATCCACTTTGTATGCAAAATGTACCATGATCAAAATTGTAAACTTATGATGGTACATTTTTTTCTAGGTGAATCTATAGATTCAGGGGGAATACAAGAAAATGTGAAATAATGAAAGTAGCTACTAGGAAGAGGAATAGAAACACGGGGTAAACAGGGAAGTGAATACTGAGATGTGGTCAAGTGAGGACCCCCACTGTGGACCATTAGTCAGCCTCTTCTGGCTATTTCCCTAAAACGACAGCCACCAAAGTCAGGTCCCACGAGAAATCAGCCAATGGGACCCATGTTAGTGAGTTTTGTTTTTCCAGGCTTACCTCCTGGTTTTTGTGTAAATTTAAGCGTCTTGAATGTAGAGATTGTCTGGATTCTTGACCCAGAGGTGAGATTAGGAAGAGAGATGTGAGTGATTTTGTCTCATCTGAGTGTGTTCAGTGCAAACCTGCTGGGCAGGTTAAAAGGCCTCCTAATTAAATGTCTTAGCATGAACAGCCCCCAAATTCCTTTCCTTTTCATTCCTCTTTAGGGGAGTAGCCATACAGCCTTGCTAACATGCCCTTGGCACTTGCACTTTTTTTTTAAAGATTTATTTATTTATTTTAATGAACACGAGTGGGAGGAGCAGAGGGAGAGAGAGAGAGAATCCCAAGCAGACTCCCCGCTAAGTGCAGAGCCTGAAGGGGCTCAGTTCCACGACTCCGAGATCATGACCTGAGCCAAAACCAAGAGTCAGATGCTTAACCGACTTAGCCACACAGGCGCCCGGCATTTGGATTTTTAATTTGAACATTTGGACATAGTCCACATACTTTCCTTGGATCGTCGTGAAGACGATCAGGAGAGAACGGTGGCCTGGAGGGAAACTCGCCCTCAGCTCAGTGCTACTGATGAAATCGCCTGTGTTTTGTACACATGGTCTGTACTCTCCAATTAAAGTCAGGTCGTAACAGCCAGGTTAGCACCAGCTAGTGCCCCTTTCTCTTCTAATGTGCTCTACCTTTGAGGTCAGAGATTCAAAGCAATGCAAGTCCTTCATAACCAGAGCTTTATCACCCATGTAGAAAGTTGGAAGGAAGCAAGGGGCACCTGGCTGGCTCAGTCGGAAGAGCATGCTCTTAATCCAGGGTTGTGAGTTCTAGCACCACGTTGGGTGTAGAGTTGACTTTAAAAAAAAAAAAAGAAGGAAGGAAGGAAATAAACGGATTTCAGCTGCGGACATTTTGTGATTTTTTTTTTTTTTACTTGCACATAAAAGCGCTGACTTCATTTTTCATTCCTGATTTCTTAATCATCTTTCTATAGAAGGTGACATTTCTGCATTTTTGTTTCAGGAACCTCGCAAAGAAATACCAACCTAAAAAGAACTCGAAGGAGGAAGAAGAATACAGGTCTGTTTAATGCTGATAATTATGTGCTGGTATCTTTATGCTGGTCATGATGATGTCTGAAGGAAAGGAGAAAGGAAATATACAAAAATAAGCTGCATTCCCCATTCATATTTGTGCTAGTTTTTAAATTGGCAGCGAGAACAATAAAAACCCTACTCAGCTAACTTATGCCGAGTCACTAGACCTATTCTGGATTGTTTCAATTAAGGTAATTGGGAAAAGCTTAGAATATAATCTAAGCAAATACAGGAAGTGTGGATTATGCATTCCACAGTCTTGATTTGCTTTTGTAATACCAGGAGTCTCTTTCACTGAGAAATATGTCCATTTTAGTCAGCAACTTAGGCACCTTAATATGGACAGCCCAAAAGTATTATATTTCTAATTTGGATCTAAACATCCATTGCATTAGTGCGTATTTAGTATGTATTGGTATTTGGGGTCATATTTGGACCAGGTATTAACAAAGCCAAATACTGCCTTATGTAGAGTGATTCGGTGTCACAAAATGCGAAGTGTTTCAGTTGTAATTAATTCTGAGCCATTTCGATGAGAACACTTTCATGAGTAATGAACTGTCAGGATCCTATGGGACGTTGATGCACATTAACCTGATTTTAATTAATGTTTCGTCAGCGCATACAGTGTTCAAACAGAGGGCACCTTGTTTGAAAAAGAGCGGTGTGTGTTCATTTCCATAGGTATACGGCTTGTAAAGCTTTCCTTTCCACCCTGAACGAAATGAATGATTACGCTGGGCAGCATGAAGTTATCTCCGAGAACATGACCTCGAACATCACTGTGGAGTTAGCCCGCTACGTCCAGGAACTGAAGCAGGAGAGGAAATCGGTAACAAAAGTTTGTTTTTTCTTACTAAGAGATGGACCAGGGGTAATGGGAATATCCTAGAAGCTTTCAAATTAAATAGAGTCATATAAGGTGGTGGGTCTTGAACTGAATTGTATAAAAGTTATGGACCCTGTTCTTAGAAGGTGCTTCTAGGTCTTTATAAGGGTCTCTCAGACACTGAAACTTATCTGAGGACCCCCAAGGATACTAATCCCTTTGAGGAATTTAAATATATTTGAGGATATCAGACATAAAAAGAGTAAGCAGTATAAGATGGTATGTGTGGGGCACCTGGGTGGCTCAGTTGGTTGAGCGACTGCCTTCGGCTCAGGTCATGATCCTGGAGTCACGGGATCAAGTCCCGCATCGGGCTTCCTGCTCAGCGGGGAGTCTGCTTCTCCCTCTGACCCTCTTCCCTCTCGTGCTTTCTATCTCTCATTCTCTCTCTCTCTCAAATAAATAAATAAAATTAAAAAAAAAAAAGATGGTATGTGTGGTGTGGAATAAATAGTATTAAAATAAACGCTTATAAAGTGTTCATAAAAGCCAGAAAGATGATCTCAGCTCCATCTACTCTGTTCTTTGGCTCCTTCATCATCTAACGAAGAGGCCCTTTTTGCTCCTCCTGCCTTCATTATCATCTTCGCATAGCTCTTATTGTTAACAAAGGAGAAAAAGGTACACTCACACAAAGTATATTCATAGTCAAGGTTTTGTCCTAAAGTATTTATTTCTAAGCTGTGGTTTGTGTCATTGTTCTCTGACCGGTTATGCAGTGCATCATAATTTTTTTTTTAAGATTTTATTTATTTATTTGACAGAGAGAGAGACAGCGAGAGCAGGAACACAAGCAGGGGGAGTGGGAGAGGGAGAAGCAGGCTTCCCGCAGAGCAGGGAGCCCGATGTGGGGCTCGATCCCAGGACCCTGGGACCATGACCTGAGCCGAAGGCAGCCGCTTAACAACTGAGCCACCCAGGGGCCCTCAGCCTTGCAAAGTTTATACCTTCTTCCTGTTTGTTTCTTTGTTCAGTGCTTTGTGTCTCTTGACTGACCTTCATTCACCCATATAGCTTAGAAATTTAGCCAACACCCCAAATAAGAACTCTCTGCATTTACCTTAGTACAGAATATAAATTCTGTTTCTGGAGTGAATCATGAGATCTGAACCCACATAACCTGGCTTCCTGTTACTTTTTTGAGTGCCTGTCCTCCAACCACATGCCCCCTTGCTGCTCCTCAACCTCGCACCATGTTATCCTGCCTCAGGGCCTTTGCACTGGCTTTTCTCTCCTTGGAAAGCTTTTCCCCCAGATATCTGCAGAGCTCACTAGCTGACTTCTTCTCAGGAATATTGTCCTCTTGAGGTCTGTCTCGTCCACCTTATTTAAAATTACAACGTCCGTCCTCCCCTTCCCCTCTTCATTCCCACCACTGTCCCTGCTTTACTGTTTTTCCATAGCGTTTACCAGCATCTAACATTTTATGTATTTGCTTGTTTTCTTTCATTTCACACTAGAATGTAAGCTCCACGAGGGCAAGAATTTTCTTGGCTACTGTTGTATCCCAAGCACCTGGAAGCGTGCCGGGGTGGAAGACAGAATTAGGAAGTAGACAGAAGCAGTCTTAGACTCAACTTCATTCTTAGACTTTGTGTCACTAGTGGAGGATCCTTGTATTTCCTTTTTGTGTTATGATTGGGTCCTTTTGTTTTATTCACTCACTGCTAATTATATGTCTTTTGTATAGTCCGTCATACCTGTAGTTTGAATTCTGTTCCCTTTTTTAATCAGAAGTTACAGTAACTTAGAGAGTAAATTATAGGTGATACAGATACACATTAAATAATATCTTGCAATATGTAGCGTTCCTTTTATTTTAGGGAGAATTACAAGCACACATCTGAGTCAGATGTTCTCCTGGGAAGAACTGCAAACACCATGCTCTCTTGAAGCATTTTGTAATTACATTAAAATGACATTTTAGGAAATTGGGAAACCTTTTAAACTTCTAGAAAGAAAGAATATCAGTAGGCAAATGCATATTTGTGGTGTTTTAATATAATGCATCATGAACATTTTTGCCTTTTTTCTACATATATACCATTATTTTGAATGACTGCATAATGTGGCATTATGTTGTATATTGATACACTGTGACTTTAAAAATTATCCTGATTATATTGTCTATTTAATTGTTTGGCCTCAAGTCTTCATTTTCATGGTTTATAATAACTGGTATCTATTAGGCTTTACATTTCATCTTCATAGCACCCCTTGGGGAGGAGGACCATTACACATTTTATCCCAGACCAGGAGGCTGGAGCCAGCGAGGCAGGGAGTCAGGACCGTCCCCAGGGGTGGAGCTGGGTGTCTCCCTAAGCCCGCGCACGTTTGCATGCATGTTTTTGTTTCCACTGAGTGACATTCTTTTTTTTTTTTTTTTTAAGATTTTATGTATTTATTTGACAGAGAGAGACACAGCGAGAGAGGGAACACAAGCAGGGGGAGAGTGGGAGAGGGAGAAGCAGGTTTCCCGCTGAGCAGGGAGCCCGATAAGGGGCTCGATCCCAGGTCCCTGGGATCAGTGACCTGAGCCAAAGGCAGACGCCCAACAACTGAGCCACCCAGGCGCCCCTGAGCGTCCAACTCTTAACTCTGCTCAGGTCTTGATCTCAGGGTTGTGAGTTCAAGCCCCGCGTCAGGCTCCATGCTGGGCGTGGAGCCTACTTTAAAAAAAAAAGGGGAGAACTTCTATTTCTTTTATGTACTCTTCCCCCCTTTCTTGAAGGGGGGCTGCTATGATTCATGTATTAGTTGCCAGTACTGTTAAAGAATGTTACCAAAACTCTGGATTAGAGAACAAAAACTCAAAGTTTTGGGGCGCCTGGGTGGCTCAGTCGGTTGGGCGTCTGCCTTTGGCTCAGGTCATGATCCCAGAGTCCTGGGATCGAGCCCCGCATCGGGCTCCCTGCTCCGCGGGAAGCCTGCTTCTCCCTCTCCCACTCACCCTGCTTGTGTTCCTGCTCTCGCTGTGTCTCTCTCTGTCAAATAAATAAAAAAAATACTTTAAAAAAAAGGAAAAAAACTCAAAACTTTTTATAAACCAAAATCCTCGTTTTTCTAAGTTACCTTCTAGATGTCACAGACATAGAGATATTGATATGTATAGAGACTGATATAGATATGTATATGTAATATCTCTCTATATATAAATATATTACATGTATAAAACACTTAAGCATATTAGTCTATATAGATATAATTTATATTTTTCTTCATTCCACATTTAATATCATAAGCAGTTTTTATTTTTCTACTTGAAAATATGTAGTTTTATTTTATTTTATTTTATTTTTTTATTTGACAGAGAGAGACACAGCGAGAGAGGGAACACAAGCAGGGGGAGTGGGAGAGGGAGAAGCAGGCTTCCCGCGGAGCAGGGAGCCCGATGCGGGGCTCGATCCCAGGACCCTGGGATCATGACCCTAGCTGAAGGCAGATGCTCAACAACTGAGCCACCCAGGTGCCCCGAAAATATGTAGTTTTAATCATTGGAATTTTAGTGGCTATGCATTATTCTAATGCTATTATCATTCACTTAACTAATTCTTTAATATTTGATCTGGAGGCTATTACCAGTTTCTGATTATTAAACAATACTGCAGAGAACTTGCTACTTTAATAGCTCTTTTGTGTGTGGGGTGGGGATCGTTCCTCCAAGCTAAATTCCCAGAAAGAGAGTACGAGGTCAAACATACATGATTTATGGTTCTTAATTAAGCTTTGGTCGTTTACTAGAGTAATGGTCTTTAACAGAAGTATAGATGAGATTCCTAAGTCACTGAAATGATCAACAAGATTGTGAATTAGCCAATCAGAAATGTGGGTAGTTCAGAGTTGCTATCAGATACATTCCTCCATAAGAACTAAGGTAAATACACCCTTGTTGGCGATTTTTGCACATTGAATCAAGTTATTAGAGAATTTCAGAGAGATTGGTTCATCTCCAGCCTTCGAGTCTGTCTCAGGATTATCCACAGTGATCACCACTAAATGCATAAGAGGGATTTATGGAGATTTGTAGCTCCAGAAGGGGAGTCAGGAGGTTCCGGCCAGCATTTTCTGGAAGCTACAAGTAAACTTCTCTCAGCAGGTGGAAATTATGGCTCATTACAAAATATTGGCCAGGAGCAGAATCGCTTTTTGGCAGCAGTTATCTGAAAAGTTCTAGAGGAAACAATTATACAATACCTTCAGTGACTTACTAAAATTTTTATAAACAGAGTGCTTACAAGACCCCACATTACTTAGAATTGACCAGTTATATTTTTTTCCCTGAGGTTTCAGGGATGTTTAAAAATTGATACTAAAAGATAACAGTCATCTCGAAGTTAGGTATTGGGTAGGTCCTATTTAGGAACTTAGGGAGGGACTCAATTTCCTATAAGGCAGTTTTGTAGCATGAACTGACCCTACTATGTTTAGAACATGTTTTTATAAGAGATTACAGCAAACAGACAAAGCCTAGCATGAAGGAATGCAAAAAATAAAAGGGCCTTACGTATGTGATCAAGTCATTACAAATTACAAATTTGTAATTGTAATTACATTACACATTACAAATCTATTTCTGATCTTTTCGATCCTATTGAGATGCAGCTGGGGGTACTCTGTTATAAAGCCAGGACCTGTGGGAAGAAACCACAGAAGAGGGAGTTTCGATTTCATGGCCTGGAAGAGGAGGGTTTCAATAATAGTTCCTCTTTACTGGGGTTACCACTTTTATTTAAATAAATCCAAAATCCAAAAGCGAGGAGCCCTGTAGAAGTTGTTGGTCTTCTGCCTGTGTCATGCTGATGGGACACCCACTGATAGCGCCTGGTTTAATGTATCTCTAGAAGGTGTATTTGGTTTTGTTATGTTTTCTTTGTTTTGAGAGGACGTGTGATAGGAGCATGCTATTCATCAAGGCCCTGTCACCGCTGTGGTTCTATCACCTG